AATTTGCACGAATCTTATCGTATCATTAAAATATTTAATTCTTTAGAAATGACAAATATGTGTTTAATACTGTTTTAATAATAGATTTAGAGTATATAAAATGTTTAACAACTTATGAAATTTGCGCTGAATGTGCAGTAGTGTTTCGTAAAGGTAGCCAAAATATAAACAAAGTTGTATTTTTGACTTCCATACAAAATGCTCATTTACTATGATTATACCCCTTTCAACACAGACAAAGAGCAAAAGAAAGTTAATGTTTGTGGCAAATGAGATTTTCATATGTCAGTGTAACGATAACAAAAACAGAAAGTTTTTTAGAAATAAAAACGATAGCATTTCTAAGGCCTAATAGGCCTTTAAGGGAGGGAGAGACGTAGGGCTGACCAAAGACTGAGTTTATTTAATTTGCGTCATGTATGATAAATGAGCCGTGTCACGACAAAACCAACATAATGGGTTTGCGACCAGCATGGATCCAGACCAGCCTGCGCATCCGCGTAGTCTGATCAGGATCAATGCTGTTCGCTAACAGTCTTTATAACAAGTAGAGAAACTGATAGCGAACAGCAAGGATCCTGATCAGACTGCGCGGATGAGCAGGCTGGTCTGGATCCATGCTGGTCGCAAACCCATTATGTTGGTTTTGACATGACGCGGCTCAAATGTACTCATGTAGTGCCAGCCTAGAAAACACCAAATTCATGAATGGTATAGCAATGGTAAAAAGGACTGACAATATCAGCTTATTAGCTCTGTGTTTCTTCCGATTTGTCTGTAATGTGGTTTTTATGTAAAGAGAACTGCTGAATAAAAGGGAAATGTTATATGATTCTACATTCTAGGGAGAGTATTCCCATTAACAGATATATGATTCTAAAAATGGTAGATCTTATCTTCTCAAGGTATTATTATATTGTGTTGCTATGTCGTGTGTACTTATGTATTTTGTCTTTGTACATGTACATTGTAGTACATGTATAGTGTACAAAACTAGAAGATTTAATAATACGACATTTTGTCGGGTTTAGTAATTGATGACTTTGATGTTGATTATCATGTTCCTTCTAAGTTTTGGCTGTGACATACTTAAACTATTGATTTAGCTAGGCAAGACTTAAAATAAGCTTCTAGTTCAAAATTAAACTGCTCAGGGCATGCGGTTCGTTTTAAAGAACAACAACAAAAAACTGCTTTACAAGCGGAATGAAATTTGATAGAAAATATACGAATCAAAACGAGATGGCGCCGCCCGGGAATGGAACCCGGGTCGCCGGATTTAAAATCAAAAGCTGTACCGATCGAGCTGACTGGGCGACTATTAGTTCATCAGAAAAAAAGAAGTCTAATGACTTTTGTCAGTCTATGAAAAAAGTCATGTATTTTTTTTTTAATTTATTTATTTTTTTGGTAAAAATTAAGATTGTTGATATGTTAAATTGCAGGAAATAAACGTTTGTTTATAAGCAATTCAAGCCTAGCGGATAATGTATGCAAGTATCCGTTATTAACTGTCAAAATTGTCGACACTTTAGAAATGGAAGACAAAATAAAAGATAATTTACGGGGTCAAGACTTGCTCAAAAGACACGAATTGCCAGATTAAAGCTGGCTCAAAATTCAACTCCAGCTCGAAATTCGGGTTTTGAAAATTTTGAATTTCGATCTTCGAGCTGGCTCGAAATTCAACTCCAGCTCGAAATTCAAATTTTGAAAATTTTGAATTTCGATCTTCGAGCCAGCTCGAAATTCAACTCCAGCTCGAAATTCAACTTTTGAAAATTTTGAATTTCGATCTTCGAGCTGGCTCGAAATTCAACTCCAGCTCGAAATTCAACTTTTGAAAATTTTGAATTTCGATCTTCGAGCTGGCTCGAAATTCAACTCCAGCTCGAAATTCAACTTTTGAAAATTTTGAATTTCGATCTTCGAGCCAGCTCGAAATTCAACTCCAGCTCGAAATTCGGGTTTTGAAAATTTTGAATTTCGATCTTCGAGCTGGCTCGAAATTCAACTCCAGCTCGAAATTCAACTTTTGAAAATTTTGAATTTCGATCTTCGAGCTGGCTCGAAATTCAACTCCAGCTCGAAATTCGGGTTTTGAAAATTTTGAATTTCGATCTTCGAGCTGGCTCGAAATTCAACTCCAGCTCGAAATTCAACTTTTGAAAATTTTGAATTTCGATCTTCGAGCTGGCTCGAAATTCAACTCCAGGTCGAAATTCAGCTCTAGTTTACTTTGAATTTCGATCTTCGAGCTGGCTCGAAGTTCAAAGCTAGCTCGATATTCACTATAAACTGAATTTCGATCTTCGATCTTCGATGTCAGTGCTAACTTCTCGATACTGTCTGGACTGTAACTTGGTCATGTAAAATAACTAGGCATAAATGTCTACCATATCAAAATGATGTGTCGTCGCCAAGAATTGTGTCTCTACCTCAAAGGTCAAGGTTACTAACATTTTGAAGTTTCACATTATCACAATAAAAAAAAAATCACAATAAGAAATTATCGGTACACACATTTGTGTCCGGACTGTAACTTTGTCATGCATCGAAGGTTTTTAAAATTACTAGGCATAAATTTCTACCACATCAAGACGACATGTCGCGACAAAGACCCATGTCCCTGCCTTCAAGGTCAAGGTCACACTTATAGTATGGAGGTACTAATTATCTCGATACACATTCATGTCCGGACTGTAACTTTGTCATGCACGGAAGGATTTTAAAATAACTTGGCACAAATGTCAACCACATCAATATAATGTGTCGCGGCTAAGGCTTGTGTCCGTCTGTCCGTCTGTGCATCCCCACTTACACAACAATAATGTCCAGACTGTAACTTTGTCATGCATAGAGTGATTTTGAAATAATTTGGCACAAATGTCTATCTCATAACAACATTTTCTCGCTTCCACGAACCACGTCCCTTCTTCAAAGGTCAAGGTCACACTTATATTTTGAAGAATATAACAACATTTTCTCGCTTCCACGAACACGTCCCTTCTTCAAAGGTCAAGGTCACACTTATATTTTGAAGGTTCATGCTATAATCACAATTAGAGATTCGAGTACAATAATACAAAGAACAATATTCACCAATTTGTTACTTTCATTCTCTTTTCTTTTCATAATACCTGCATGCTTAAGAAACCTTTCCGGGGACATTCGTCACTTGGGTGAAAGCTCTCGTTTTTTTCTACTTTTAAACAAGAATGTTTGAACATCCAGTTTCTAAGATTGGGACCTCTAATGTGCTGTAATAGTTTATTTAACTACCAAATTGCCATGATTTTACAATTTGCCAAAGATCAAAAGAAGTTTATCTATATGTCCAATTAACTGCATGTTTCGAAACCGTTACCGTACCAAAAATTGAAGAGTTTGAGAAATAAACAAAGAAAGTATTTCTTGGGCTTTATAGATATTTTATTTTAAAACCTATGTGCAAGTATCAAACTGCAAGAATAAAGCCTAATTTATTATACGCAAAGAAACCATCTTGATATATGGAAACAGTGACAGTGAAAGTGAAGATAGGTTTATATCGCCACATTCAGAAAACCAAATATAACTCTACATACCAATGCTCTCCTGTATTTTCTTAGTCTTTTAAAAACGATATTGTACAATTTTATACTAATATTATTTAACTCCTTTCAATGGCGTTTATACAAATATTTTATCAAACAAAGGATTCTTTTGACAGGGAAAAACAAACATTTTTATATAGATATATTAAAGGTAAATTATTTTTTTTACAATTTAATTTTAAAAAAAAATGATATAGACAATATAAACCATATTGTGGATTTGGTGAAAATACTGATAGAAATCAACCAATTCTTATATCATCCGGAAAACCAAACTCTGTTAAAGGGACTCCACTGAGGTTTTTTGACATGATGGGACTGAAAATATTTTTTCCAGATAATTTTCCATTTGATGTAGGTTTAGACCACTAATCTTTGTGCAAAATTTCAGATCATTTGCGCACACTATTTTTCCAGAATAATTATTCAAATTTTAAAAAACTGACCCAAACTGAAAAGCGTTTAAACGCTTTTCACTCAAAATAGGCTAAGAAAAGCATAAACATACGATTTTCAATTTATTTCAAAGTATATTTCTTAACTATCTTTGTATATATTACTGTTTAAAGTACCCCCGCTCATTTATGTAAGAAATTCAAATGTTATGTTTTTAGACTTTTAAACTTTTAAACCCTTTAAAAACTCAACATCTGAATGTGTTTATATATATTATTACTCACATACATGTTTTTATTGAGTGTGTGTCTAATTGTTTAATTTGACAATGTTATTTAAAAGTGTAAATTGTAAGTATAAAAAAGTGTTTTGATCTTAATGTTGACATATAGAGGATATTGAATGAGTGTAAGTTGAATACTGAATTTATTGCACGAGTTGAATAAAATTATATTATGCGAGCCTCTGGCGAGCATAATATTATTTTATTCAACGAGTGCAATAAATTCAGTAATGAACTTACACGAATTTAATATTCTATTTATCACATACCCAAAATAAAGACGGTTTAAATTGAAATAAGAGTCATTTTTCTTTGACGCGCCTATAGTTTAACGCTAACATTTAGCGCGTCTTTACACTATGTTTGTATAACGCTAATGACGTCACGTCAAAATATATGCACGGCCGTGCAATACCATATTTACGGAGTCGCAAAATCGGCACGGGTGTGTGATAAACTCGTAAATCGAATTCAATGTAAATAAGCGTTCATTTTATATTATTCTATACATGAAGAAACAGACCTACTTATAGTTTTAGTTATAAATTATTTAAATTAAAGTTTGGTTATAAAACACTTTTAGCAATTAAGTAAAAACTGGAAATTCAAAATGTTGTACATGCCATTCTATAGTTTTTATCGAATTTGAGAAGTCAAGACGTTATTTTAATTTCTTTTATAATAAAGCAGGTTTTTTTTGACGAGTTAATATAAAAAATACTACTATGGGACAGGACTTTATTTCTTGATATTAGTGTTTGAACACGAATGGCTGAACAATGATTTGGGCCTCTTGTGTTCCTAAACGGTTATTTTTATACATGATATGATTTGCACTCAAGATAAGTGAACAATCTTTATTCTGATTCATTAATTTTTATACCGATTATTCTATTTTATTGTTTTAAAACCCTTCATTTTATTTTATTTCTAGAAAAAGATGACAGGAAGATAGTTGTCCCCACTGAGAATAAAGGACAACATATCAAAGCTACGCAGTTAGGGGAACCTGCATTACAGCAAGATAAATATCAGCACTCGATAACCAAAGGTATCGTAGATGACCCTGTCTTTCACAAGATACATTGTTATCATTTTTTGTAAAACAAATGTTTATAACTTAAGAAAGGTTAAGTATGTGGTTAATTAAGCTGACATTAAAAGGCCTTGAAAGAAACGATAAATATAGTATTGAGTCTAGAAGATAGCGTCAATTTCTGTTGTTTTTTTTCGAATGAGATAGGTATTGGTTCATTTCTACCAGTGTTTTCACCAAATCCACAATATGGTTTATATGGTACATAATATTTTTTAAACACAATAATTTGAAAACAAGAGCTGTCACTTAAAATTGACGTATGCCCCGAAAAGAAGCTTTGACATAAATCCGCAATATACATTACAATATACGCCCGACCGCCTTTGATAAATATCATTCCTCATATTTAATTGAAACTCCATTAGAAGTGTAGGAGGAATAGTCTGAACAAATTTTACTAAAATAATTCATCATCAAGGGCCAATAACTGTGCGAAAATAATCATGCATAAAATCATGGCACAATGTACAACTAGACTTGGAAAATCATGACAACATGCAAACAATTTTATAACTGTTCACATAAATTTCCAAAGTGGTTTTGGGGATGAAGGATGAACAAAGATAACTTACAGAAAAATCATTATGTGCACAAGAAGACTTGGTGACAAACAACCCTGTTCAGTTTCACTGAAATCCCCACTGCGTTTTTAGAAATGTAGCATGGACAAGCTTGTTTTACTTGCAAATAAACTATAAAGGGGCCATAAATGTGCCAAAAATCAAGCAGAAAATCAAGACACTATACACAACTAGACATGGTGATAATATAAAAAAAGTCCTGTGAAATTTCACTAAAATCCCCCATCGGTTTTGGTGATGAAGAGCTGGCACGCTTATTTTACTCGAAAATTGACCATTAAGGGGCCAAAACTGTGCACAATAATTCAAGCGGAAAATCAAGAAGGCATGGTGACAAATAATCCTGAAAGCCCTTAAGCGGTTTTTGACATGAAGCGCGAACAAGCATTATTTCCAAAAAAAACAACAGAAAAAACAGGGGTCATAACTGTGAAAAAAACAAGCTGAAAATCAAGAGAGTATGCACAATTAGGCATGGAGACAAACAAACCTGCAAAGTTTCACTGAAATCTTTCCCAGTGGTCTTTGAGATGAAGCGCGGACCAATTTATTTAAGCCAAAAACAATCCTGTGAAGTTTCACTGAAATCCTCACTGCGTTTTTTGAGTTGTAGTGTGAACAAGATAATTTTACTTACTTGCGTGGACAAGATTATCGGATGGACGGACAGTGCAATTAGTATATTCGCACTTAGGGGGCATAAAAATAACCTTTCATAATATTTTCCAATTGTTCAATATTTGTCATTTGATGAAATAAAAGGAAAATATATTGGACATTCCAAGTTTGACAAGATGTTAAAAAAAGAGTAGTTTATTTCAAATAGTAGCACTTAGTGTGTGTGTTAAATAATTCTTATTTAACTAGGCACACGATTTTGAATCTTTTTTTCTTTACACCCTTTGTCCTTTAAATTCCAGTATCGGTCCCTTTTATTTCTTATCATTTCGTTTATTACTTGTTCCTCCCTTACAAGTGTGGTTTGATTGTATCTGCTTTGTTCTTTCCAAAATGAAAAAAAATGGATTCACGGGTATTAAATATTGACTCAATTGAATATTTTAGGTTAGCAAATAGTTGATCAAGTCTCTTATTATAATACCGTAATAATATTAAAAACAAAAAAGGTCCAGAAATAAAACAGAACATAAACTATAAACATATTTTACCCTATAGTCACACACATGTTTTGGGGACTTGTATTTACCAAAATACAATTCCGTTCAGGAAAGGGACACTATTAATTCAATACCATTATAACATGAAAAATAAGATGTCTAAATTGTTAACAATGTAGCACATTTAAAATATGCATTTCAATTGTGTTTTAATCATAAGTGCGTATCTTACAGCTGTAAATGATTTAATCTCTTAAACAGAGTTCTATCGGACCGTTTATGCCACGGAACGTATATATCACACGTTTACACAGTAAACTTACATTATTATCACCGTTTTTAAACTAGTACCATAATACGTCATCTTCATCAACAACAACAACAACAATCATCATCATTATCATAAATGATACGTCATCATCGTCATATATTTGTTTAAGTCCACGCCGCCTTCCTTATCATTTTACCAGTAAGATGACACTGTGTCAATACACAGTGACTGGCTTTGTCAAAAATATGTGCTAAATATTTTGGACATTTATATTTATTGACTTGAAGATAAAATATCGACTTTTCATGCCATTACTCTGAGGGGGAGAGGAATTTAAACGTTTTACTTGTCCGTGCGCCTGTGCCTGAATACGTGCGTCTATCCGTAACGGAATCTTTAGTGTTGCTCTATAAATACTTAAGATAGGGTTCCTGAAATTTTACATGAACGTTGGTCAGCATTATGTTATTATATACCTGGGATTTCGCTAGTCGAGCCAGAGTTTTTGCCCTTGACTAGTCAAATATCAACTTGTGTCACATGTAGCATCAACATTATTTGAACAAGGGACATGGTCATGGAACTTGTACACAAAGCGTTATTATGTCATGTACTTTACAACTAAATAAAATCAATTATTTTACGCCGTGACTTATATTTTTTTATAATTTGTTTATTATATACTTTTAAGACATTCGATAAAGTATTTGTTTCTTTTTAAAAAAACGGTGAAATATTTGTTTATTATACATTTTCTAAAAAACGGTGAAATATTTGTTAATTATACACATTTTAAAAAATTTGATGATATATTTTTTATCATACACTTTAAAAAATTCAGTGAAATATTTTTTCATTATACACTTTTAAAAAAAGAAATAAGTTAAATATCTGTTTATTATACATTTGTGATGATGACAATGCTGTTGATGCTGCTGTTGCTGATGCTGTTGATGATGATTTAAAAAAAACGGTTTTGTACGAAACGGTCTTATTTAAGTAAACAATCCGCATGTGACTGATACGTTCGTTTTTATTTTTATGTGCATTTTTGGTAGTCACAAATTCCGTTTTGGTGAGCATAAAAAACTCAATCCAACCGAATATAGCACATGTTATGTTCCGTTTTCAGCTGAAGAGTGTGCCATATTCAACAGAATATGTCACTATTCGAACCGGACATACGGTCCGACAGAGCTTAACAATTATTAAATATACGATTCTATACTTTGCCTTACATTGATTTTTATTCAATACATGTTGTAAGATGTACCAACAGAATCATATATTTCACAAAAAAATACACGCAAAGTATTTTTCTTAATAATAATTAATATAAAGAACTTTATATGTAACTGACAAGTTAAAAGTGCAGCTGTAGTTGACAACGCGAATATTGCATATACATCGTAAGATTTAAAATGGGAGAATGTACGCTAATTTTTCTTTATGGTCTACCTTTTGGTACACTAGCACGACATTTGTGTGCCCTTCGAGTATACATAATGGTCGTCTGTTCTATGTTAACTTCTATATAAAAATGATCTGAATTTAATTGAACGGTTGCTTTTAAATTTGATTCAATATGAAGAATATTCCACATGGTTATATATGTCTTATTCCCGACCAAAATAGTTTAAGCTTGATCGTTATTAACATAGCATTTTGTTATCTACGCATACTATTTATAATCGAACAAATAATACTAGACACTGCATGTATTTCATTTGCACCGTATTATGACACTAAAACATTTTCTAATGTAAACTATTCTTATGTTCTTTACTATTGAAGTATGCATTTGTTTGAATTTAAATTTTTTACCCGATGCTGCTTAGATCGTATTTTTTTGTAAATAAATGTTATCCGAATAGCTTTTATTCATTCTTATTATTATTCTGTATCGATATATTGGTATTTACATTTATCCATGTAAAATGGTTAGCTATGTGTTCCGGATGCAACAGACGATGTCAGGCAATGAATATCAAGTGTTTCGTGACGAATCTTGATAAGATAATAATAAAAAAGATTAAATATGTATGTTGCCATTTTGGTGGGTAATAAAATCAAAGGATAATTTAGGAATATGACAGTTTTAGTAAGTAAGGTTGTGTAAAAATATTTAGTTTGGAATGTTACAATCTTAGTTATTATGTATGAAACTTGTTCATTTGTTTGATTGAGTTTAAGTCACACCGACATTGTATAGGTCATATGGAACCATTCCAGCTTTACTGGTAGAGGAAGACCTTAGGTGCCCTTCCGTGCATTTTTTTCAGGTACAAACGGGCACCTGAGTAGAACCGCCGACGTTCCGTAAGCTAGCTGGATAGCTTCCTCATATTAAAGAATCGAAAGTCCCATGTCGGGATTCGAACCCACAGCAGTAAAGGGCAAGTGGTTTGAAGTCGACGACCCCATGTATGAACATAAATATTACGGCCTCAGTAAGGAAATGCAAAAAGTCTAACACAATTGGTCATACAATGGAATGAAATGCTGGAACGTAGCAAAGTCGGAAAGAAAATGTACTAAAACATTACATGCATAAATGAAGAAGAAAAGATTTTTATCGAAAACGAAACAGGATATCAAAAGTAACATAGTTTTTAAAGAAAAAATAGCAATTCGGGCGCTTAATTAGTATTAAGTTCCCAACCGTTATGTACAAGAAGAATAAAAAACTTTTAGCATAATAGTATCAGTAACTATAAATAATTATAATACAAAAGAATGACGATTAAGTTGTTGAAAAGCCCTTTTATCTGAATTATTAAAAGAAATGAATGCACGTCGCATATACTGTATATAAAGTTTTGAGTGTGCTAAAAACTTTATGGTAAATGGTTTATAAGGATTTTGAAGATTTTAAGAATAAGAATATCTTCTAAGAATAAGAATATTTTTACTAAATACATAACGTAATACCGGCTCCCTATCGTTCACATATTCCCAACTGCATTAAGTGTCTTATTTGAGAAAATATGAAAATAACAATTGGTATTTTAAGTTTCAAAAATAAAAACCGAGGCTTATGGATAATAAATACTGACTCGATTGAATATTTTAGGTTCCATAAACCTGCTTCATTTCATTAAAAGCATTACGTACAGTCAATAAAATTTTTAAAAAAATAATGTTTCAATGAAGCATATATAAAAATTAAATCTTTATCTATTTCAAAAAGGCTTGAACGTATAAATAGGTTGTTGTATGTATTAAAATGAAAGTCTTATGTCTTTCATCTAAAACATCACATCAGTATCATACATATTATTATTTGTAGAAACCATGATCATCTGTAGAATAGCGAATTAGCTTACTCACATGAACGCGTCAACAATGTCTAGGGGAATGCTAAACTATATCAGTCAGAGACGAGTTATTCAAAATGAGTAACCAAAAATATGTAAAGATAAAATACCTGAACATGGTCAAGAGATAAAACAGAACATAAACAATAAGGATATTTGTGACATGTTAGTTAGGGAGGAAACGTAGCAAAATACAAATCGAATTTGTATTGTGTCGAGAAAAGGACATTATTAATCTGATAACATTATAACATCAAACTTGAGATGTATAACGTGTTGCGCATTGAAACTTTCTTTATTATATTTATTAATGCATTTTTCAAAGTTTTAACCCCCATATTTCGCTAGCCTTTGACAAGCTTTGCACTTATTTAATATTTACCTTAGAGTGGTTTGCATTGCATACATATTTCTTCTTTTCAGAATCTGTTTTGGAAGCAGAAGAGACAAAACAAGACATTCGAAAAAGAGATAAACATATCGTGAGTTACTAATCTTAATCATTTTTATAAAAGTGATTCAAATATCTAACTGCAGCTAAAATAAAACTATTCTGCTTTAGTTGACAGCGAGGAAATTTTGTATATACACAGTGAAATTCCTAGTGGAAGGAATCAAGCTAATCTTTCACTTTTCTCAAAATATGTTTTTTTTTACAATTTCATGACAGTTTTGTATCGGTCTTAAATACATAAAGGTCGTTTAAACGCAATTTATCTCTATAAGATGATCTAAATTAAACTGAATGGTCGATTTTAAAGAAGTTCAAGCTTCATCGCTGATCTTCGTGGCTATTGGTTACCAACGAATACTATTTATATTTGAACAACTAATACTTTCCACTTCCTAAAATCATTTATACGATTTTACAACCACAAATTTTTCGATTTCTAAAATATAATAATTCAAAGTTTTATGCTATATGATTTTTTCGAATATTAACATTTCGCTCGACTCTGCTCAGGTTTTTTTCAAACGTCTCTTTTTGTGAGGAAAATATTATATCAAATATCAGAAAAAGGCATGCTAAAATCAGACCAATCAGGTGCTAAAGCGGAAGAATAATGTTGTGTCCAAAATCGATGACAAAGCAAATCAAACACTCACAGACTTAGCAGCTATGTAAGGGGTACTAGTAAGGCTATTATTGTATTCTTCCCTGACTTAAGATATACTAACTGTTTAATATCAAAAGTTAAGAAATTAAAGGACACGCAATAGAACACCAACCATGACTGTTAAGGCGCCAAAAGTCCTACGACCTATGTCCAAAAAGGTACCCTTAAAGTAAAGTTAGCATTGTGATCATTTTAAAAATCCTAATGGATGCCGAAATGTTTCCCCAAATGGAACGTCAAAATGTAAAGTGATGATATTGATATTAGGAAACCTATGTTTAAAAATATATATACATTCAACTTTGAGCTTTAGGGGCACGCAATACTACAATGTCAATAACTAATAGACCTAGTGACTGCCCTAAGTACACCACGACAAGAATTGTTTGTTTTTATTATTAAAACAAGCGATCATTCATATTTTTTTAATAAAATGAATAAATATCACCATCATTTAACCTTGATTGGCGGACTTATTTTTCAGCTCAAGACTTTTTGTTTTTAATGTGAAAGTCCGTCTAAATGGGGCTCTCAATGGGGGAAACAAATTTTAATATTAACGTTAAAATTATGGAAAATTCGTTTTAACTTGTTTTTAAGCATAAAATAAAAAGAAAATTTGTCTGTTTGTTGTGTAAGATGTAATTTTATTTCATCTCGTGAACTTTAAAAACAGTATTCTCACTCGTGGCTACGCCACTCGTGAGAATACTGTTTTTAAAGCCCACTCGATGAAATAAAATTTCATCTTACACACAAACAAACAAATATCCTCTATATAATATCCGACTATTAACATTTCTTAGGCGTGACATTCTCTTGAAATAGAATACACGTTACTTGACAAGCGCCTACTGTCTACATGATTTAGTTAACCACAAAATCATTGCATGCGAGAGGTATGTTTGCTGCTGTGGAAGATTTGTTTAATTCGATAATATTTGGGGATATTTTTTGCATAAAAGACACACTGAATAGTTATAAATTACAATTATTTAACAAAATATAATTAATTATATATATTTAATAGAGTATCATAATGAAAGTTTGTTTTACACTACATTTTTTAAACGTTTTAAATGATAAATTGCCGGAGAAAAGGACTTTTTTCTTGGCGCATTAGGGATACTTTTCTAAAAGGGAACAATTTATGTTATGTCATCAAACTGAATTTAAAATAAATGATATACAAGTTTATGGAAACATTTCCTCTACATTTTCATAAAGTTTGTTAATCAAACGATTTTAAGTCACTAGATTTTCATAAAATGGTAATATCATTTGATTTGATTGGAATAAACAGTTTAAAAAGCTGTATGCCTCCAACCACAATATTTGAGGAAAATCTTGAGTTAAATTTGTGCCATTTGCGCCAAAATGTTTCCATTGCGTTATTTAGTCATACCGGTTCAAAAGTTTAAGGAGCAGCACAATTTCGATACACGGTTTACTCGCTCATGTAATAGTGCATGGTGATATTGTACCTGTAATGTTCACTGTTACTATATATCGGAACATGAAATAGTAAAACGCTATTCAGAAACCAATAAGGTAATCGATTTATACCTCCAAATGACTGAAAACAAGAATGTTATCATCGAAGCTTCAGTAGTCTGTCTATTGATCTGTCTATTAGGTTATTGAAATATAAAACTTTCTTTCCCAAAATTTAACTGAGACACTTAGATATTTGAACTTTGACCAAATAATAACAGAGTGACAATAAGTTTATAAATCGCAGAAAACGGTTTGCAGTCAAATCTTAAAATATCGTCTGCCTACAGTACAAGTAGCGTAATAAATCTTTTCGTTTGGGAGTAAACAAAATGCATGTATTTAAAAGTGTGATTTAAGGTAATAGTTTTCGTTTGTTGTACAGGGATATTTTGTTCTTTTGACACTTAATCGTGAGAGCTGGGCCGTCAACAGTGCAAATAATCATTTGTATGAGCACAAAGATAGAGCTTATAATAAATTTGCGTTTTTGACAAAATAGATGTGGATATTACTTCTTATAAAAATTGAAGTTAAACAATCACGCAAATTGTTAATTTCGTAAATCCAATTATGATTTCAATCAATCAATGAATCATTTCTAAATTTCTTGGACGAAAAATATTTTTTGTTGATTAATCTTACATTATCTTTAAACATTTCATTTCAGTGTCTCCATATTCCATTCAGTAACTCACTTTATAATCTCCCAATCCTTAATTCGTTTTTTTTAATTTTGTATTTCTTTTTCATCAATATTTTCCTAGTGCGTAATATTCTATTAACACATGTGGCAATGTTTCATAAAATCAAACTAAAAAACAAGTATTTTGATTATCTATTATGAAAATTAAAAACATTGATAAACACTCATTGTACAGACAGATTCTTTTCCTTCTTTGTTTGATACGTTTATCCCAATTCGTTCATAATTAGATGTTTTGCTATGCTACTAGTTAGTAATACTACTACTTAAATTTGTGAATGGCATGCGATGTGGCTGCTTCATGCGCTTTGTAAACAAAATCAATTTCAACTATTTTTACTTTTACAGGATAATTGCACTTTACAGTGAAAGCCTACAGTATTCTATACGATTGCATCTATCTGTACAATATTGACTCGATGCACTATGAAAAGATCAAACCTCGTTTTGTTGATTTCTTTCAAAATTATTAGGGAGGATGTGTAGCGAAGACCATCGATTATAACAATTTTACACCAATTACTGTGAACCAAACGTATGATTTGTATGGGATACTTCAGCATTAACTGCTCTCGGAAATTAGAAGTCATTATGTGATAAGTTAATTCCAGACTTCACATTCTTTATAGTTGTTAACGTAATTGTATATATTATATGTATATTTGTATTTGTCATCACATGTTTAAAATGTTCAGTTGATAATTTGCAGTAGCATTTGATCACGTGTGCCTAATTAAGTATATAATCTAAGGTGACTTATAGACCCATGATGCCGGTGTTAACTTATCTTTGATATATATGTGTTCGTTTATCTGTGGCATACAGGCATCATAGCCTTTAGTTCCCATTCAAAATTCCATTTTGTTTTGTTCTGTCCATTGTTGTTGTTGTTGTTTTTTGTTTAATACATAAGCATAGTTTACTTGGGGACTATACGCCGCTTTCATGCAATAACGTGTCACTTCGAAGGTTCAATGATCACCGTTGTATGAACACATCTGCGGATGTCTCTAAATTCCAATTTTACCATTATACTTTTGGATCTTCTGAAGGGATTCTATTTCTAACTTTTTCTTATTTCATATTTTTTTTTTAAATTTCAAACTGTATTTTGTAATACATGTCAACATACTTAACAATTTATATTTTTAATAATTTAGTTTGGTTCGATTTTGTTGCGACGACACTTTACAGTGACACATTTAGAAGTTCGAAGATTTTTTTTAAACTCATTTCTAGCTCATTAGCACAGCATGCACCATGTGAGCTTTTGTGATTCCCCTGTGTCCGTCGTAAGCATCTTTACTTCTCCTCTATTTCTAGTGCCGATTATTTTTCAGGTTGGATCTTAGGACAGTGCCATTCAAACATTTGGTGTGCTAAACAAGGTCGAATAGTGTATAAGCTAGAAAACACCTTTAAACATATATCTCCTATTAAATTATTAGTAGATTTTGTGCAACAATACAGGAATGATCAATAGAAAGTAGGTCCTATACTGTTTTTAATATATATCCATGACCTGCCTTTGTCTATGGAAAAAACAGAAACTGATATTTTTGCTGATGACACCACCCTTTCAACCTCTGATGTATCCCTAAACAGAGTAGTTGAATCTCTTACTCATGATCTTTTAAATGCCAACAAATGGTGTGATTTGAATCGCATGTCTATCAATGTTAACAAAACTAAGGTCATGTATATTTCCTCAAAACACAAGCAAAATTATATTCATGAAAGTAATCCTTGTATTTTATATAAAACAGAGCAAATTTTTTGTAGCTCTGAAGAAAAATTATTGGGTATTACAATTAATAACACATTGTCTTGGCAAAGCCATATTGATAATGTTCTTAAAAAGTGTAACTCATTGTTACATTTATTATCACGTATAAAATTATTCATATCTATACCTGTACGTAAAATGTTTTACAATGCATATATTTTACCACATCTTGATTATTGTTGCATAATTTATGGTAACTGTACGTCTTTTCTAGAAGATAAACTCATTAAGTTCCAAAAGAGAGCTGCAAGACTAATTCTAGACAAAGATTATGACACTCCATCTGCTGAACTTTTTTCTGAACTCCGCTGGATGACCTTTTCACAGAGGGTTGTTTTTCAAAAAGCTATTATGATGTTTAAAATAATAAATAATCAGGCGCCTTCCTATTTATTGAATAATTTCATTTTATCGTCAGATGTTCATACTCGCATTTTGCGTTCATCATCTGATTTTCAACTTTATACCCCTAGACCAAATACTGAACAATTTCGTAAGTTTTTTGTTTATTCTGGATCTTGTATTTGGAACGGCCTTCCTAATTATATTAAGTCTGCTACATCTGTTAACCATTTTAAAACCTTATACTTGAGGTTTTATCACGCATTGATGTATACCAATTGATAATCTCCTGTATTTTTTACATTTATGTATTTTAATAGTTTGAAAATGTTAATTTTATATTGTTCCTTGTTGAGGGCCTCATGGAAGATTGATATGTTTGTTCAAAGGAGTTCTCTCGTTAAATAAAGTCTTTATTATTATTATTATTATTATTATTATTAAAGTCCTTAAAGATCCTGTATGTTTTGTGATTGATATTGTCACTGTGTGTATACCACACTTGCAAAATATTATATATGTATATAATTATGCAAATAAAACAATTTTCAAACATCCAAGAATATGTAAAATGTGTACTGTAAATATCTGTGCACATTACATTTAATCAATAAATTTTATGCATTCATTTATTATTGGAAAATTTGACTTAGAATTTATAGAAAATAAATTTCTAATTACCTCCCTTTATTTACATGAAATGTTAAATTCGGTAATATCTTTATAAATAATGCTTATTGGAACTTGCAATATTGACAAATCTTAATTTGAGCATCACATTTATGAAATAAAACCATGCAAAAAATGTGTTACAGGATCTTTAAAAATGTGTCCAAATGTTGTACGAAGTGGCCTTTGAGCTAGAAAAACAAAACAGTCTTAAATAACATCTTGTCCTCAATCATTTAATAGATTCTGACAAAACTTAATATAAATGTTCATTGCCAGTCCTTACTAATTTGCTTAAATTGTGTTGGTCTGCTGAACAAAATGACCACAAAAGCTAAAAACGACATCACGTCCTAAACCGATATGAGAGTTTTGTTAAACTGTACGGGAATGATCCTTGGAGGGTCCTCTGAAGATTTTTCTCAAGTAGTTATAAATGGCTAAACAAGATGAACGTCAGAGCTATAAAAAAAAGTTGCACGTTGTTTTATTTTCGTGATCCAGGGTGCAATTTAAAAACAAGTTTAGAAAAAAACAAGAAACTAATTTAAACATACACGTTTAGGCTTGTTTAGCGTTAATGAACCTTTTTAGTGCATAAACATTTGCATAAACGCTACGGGCTTGGGTTTTAAAAGCATCCTAGTGGTTCAACAAAAAATGCATTTATTCTCCTAGGTCCGTTGATCAAGATTGCGACCTGAGCTAAAACTAGAGTTTGCTTAAAATGAAAGTTTTTATATACACTTGCCAGATTCAAATAAAACAGTATAGGAATATTAATTATATGATCTTTTAAAAATATTGTTCCGGTCTGAATATTCAAATGACTGCCAAAGCAAACGAAAGAAATAAGTTTAAATGAATTTTTCTTAGCTGCTTGTTAGATGTTAAATGATCCTTGGTTGAAGGAAATGAATGATCACTACTGAAATATTATGGTATGTGGTTAAACTTGTCTTTTCCTAGGTTAGAAGTGAAGGAATTCATTGTAGAATGTCTATTCTAATATGACGCGTGATTTTGTCACAATTAATAACGAAGAAAATAACCGGTGTTAAACTTCCAATAAACATGGCTGTTCTTTTTGTCATGTTAATCTTCCAATAAATAAGGTAATATTTAACGACCACAACAGGTAAAATCATATTGGTATTTCCCCTTATATAATGTCATATCCATATCAGTTGGAAATTATATTAGAAAAGTTTAAATCATAAAAAGCGAAATGACGTCATCTAGAATATAACTCATTCGTAAAAAAAACGCCACATGGGTTAGTATGAAGATTGATTTACCTAGCACCTGTGTAAAGTACCTGAGGTAAAAAAGGCCCCATCCTTGGGGTAACTTAATTTATATGCACTTTTAAATTGTACCGTAAAATGTCATTAAAATCTATTTACTGAAAGTACCAAACGCAGAGCTTATATACTTGTAGAATCACCCGACTTGTTATCCTCTACAAACGTTATATAAAGCATGCTCTTTTGGTCAAAATTTGCCACATCCTTGGGCGTGTATACAAACGTTATATAATTTATACCCCTGAGGTCAAATATCCCACTTAGGGTCACTTGAACAGTAGAATTAATTAAAACATTATCCTCTGAAAGTCCAATGCTCAGTGGCTAGAGATACGATCGAGGGGCATATTTCAATCAGGCAGCGCGTTTTTATTAATAAGTCATACCTTTTTAAAAATGTTAAGTAGAGTCCTTCAAAATATTTGTCATGGACCTCTAACACACTTTTCCAGCCTCAGAATCCTTGTCAAATGAGCATTTTTAAACTGTTCTTTTGGTATTTTTTATACCGGAAGAGGGCGCTTCCGACGGCACTATGGGTTTCAAATTTGATGTATAGATTAAACCAAATGTCGCAAGGAGAGAGGTCAGGACGTTAAGTGGGATATAGTAAAGCCTCAATTCTCTGCTCCTCTTAATAAGCTTGAACCAGGGGTGACCGGTGCGCATGCGCATTATCATAGAGCTATTTGATCCTGTGTACCCGGATCTTGAGATCTTTGTGACAGCAGAACATGATCATGATAAAATGTTCCAGTGACATTACCTCTCTCAGGCACAGCGACACGGACCAATATTCCATTATTGTCAATAAATAGAGCGTACATAACTATTTAACGATCCTGCTTCGTCAAGCAACAACTGCACGATCGCTGTTTTCACTTACAACATTTTGTTATTGACTTATTGTCGAGCTCAAAAAATTAAGCAACCTTTCAGCCCCTGTGACAATTTTTCCGAGGCGTTTACAGACTCGATCTTTGAACCTAGTCAATAAGACCGAGGCTTTTTCAACCCGCTTCTTGATCTGCTCAGAATCCAACAGGGACCACTTTCTATAACTTTTACTTTTCTTTCAAGACGGAAAACACATATGACGCACTAAGGCTCATTGTGTCACTTATCTCGTCCACGGAATATCTTGCATCTTCATAACCTATGGCTTTGACAGTGCTTATGTCTTCTTCTTAGGTAGCGAAAATTGGTCGCCAAGGGCGGGGATCATCCCTAACATTAGTCCTACTTTCTTTTATCATAGACATCCACCTTGCAATTGTACGATATGAAGGGTATTTTCTTCATAAACTAAATCTAGATCCGTTTTTTTATTTCTGACGCGCATTTACGATTTAACCCATGAATTTTGTTATAAGATTTTTTCGCCTCTCAAATCACAATGCCACCAGCCATGTTTACAACCAGTATATAAAACCACATGTATTAAGATGACCTCCTTAAACATTAAATAAGATGCAAATCTTGCGAAAATAGACTGTTGGTTAGAGAAAATAAGAATAATTCCAACGGTATGTTATACGTGTACTTTTACGTGCATGGTTAAATTGGGTTGTTGCAACTTATTAATAATGACCGTAGAACTAGGCTGAACTACACCCTCTCTTTTGTATATAATTATCAAAAAATGATATTAGTACTGTACATAAATAAATCATATAATTCATCTCACGTAATCATTTCTAAACAGGTTGCATCATTTCAAGATAACATAAAGCTAATAAATCAAAGCAATGCGATGCATTCTGTGTAGAAGTTTAAAGAAGTTGTTTGGAGTTTTGCATGAAGAATCATCTTATGCTCCTCTTTGAAGAAATTATGTGCCTGTGGTCAAATTGCTTTTGTTCCTACAGTCATTTAATTTATATTGTTTTTCCATATTAATTATTTTTAATTAAGTCTACCCCCAAATACATTTAGAATTATGTACCTTAGATAAAAAAAATGACGAATCAAATATGACCTCATTACTGACTTTAACATTAAAAGATGAAAATAAATTGTGACGTTTTCTTGCGAGATATCTCATGTGAGCGATCAAGAACCATCATGTTCCTCTTGTTGTGAATATTTCTTGGACATTATCGGCGTTATTGGATGGCATGCTTTTTTATATGATGGTTTGTTCTATTGTTTGAGAAAATTATATTTTGTTAAGTTAAAAATATTAAATTTACAATGCAATAAGTGTTACTTAAGATGATGGTTGTTTGTAAACAATATTTTCTGAGAGTTGTAAACAACACCATTTACTGTGGAAATCATCAATTATATCAAAATGAATTTCATTTCTTTAAATCTTGTGCATATTTGTATTACCATTTTATATTTCTTGTGTTTCAGAATATTTGTGTAAATTCCGAACAATTTATATATGTTATTATATTTTATAACTCAACGCTGAAATCACATGTACTTTATTTCTTTAAGTGCAAAATAGTGATGTTGTCTGTGTCATTAACATTTCGTTATGTTTCGTGAATGTATGTGAATGTATGTAAATTTTGTTAATATGATAAAACAATCATATGTATGTGACAATAATTTTTACTTGATGATCATATATATATATAGGTGACAATAAAATGAATTCAACAATACATGTGACAATCATATTTTGACAATCATATCATAATCATATATGTATGTGTCTATATGTGACAATAAAATGTATGTAGCAATACTATCTTCGTGTTATTCACGTTTATGAGACGATCACGTGTGCGTGACAATAAAATGTAGGTAACAATGCTATCTTTTTGACAATCATATTAATGTTGCAAACGTATGTTTGTGACAATTATACATGTATGTATGTTATAATCATTTTATGTTGCAATAACGTGATTAAAGGTGTCAAGAAAAACAAGGCATTCTGCTCTTTTTCGTGCATTTAACAGAAATTCTCAGAAACAACGCCATATCTAATGGTCAATTTGTTTGCTAGAATTGATTTATAATAATCGAAACATGTATCATGTGTCGCTTTAGAAATCAATCATTGCAACAGCAAGTCAGGTCATTTCTATAAGTATTGTCCGTTATCTTTGAAAAAATGGCTGATGTTGGGACGACTCTGTGCATGCAACATTGAACGTCATATCAAGTATTGACGTCACATTTTTTTAAAGATGTATTTTGGCAATACCAATTATCCTCGACATCTTTTTAAAATGACACCAGCTGATTATTTGCAGCCTCGCACATATTAAACTTTGTGCGAATATTATTAAAACACCACACTGACAAGATGCATATAAAAGGCGAACAACCAGAATACTGATCAGATTATTGATATACATCTGACGTAAGCGATTTAAAGAGGAAAACATGATGTCAGAGCAGAAAATCAAAGGCTAAGATTACAGATAAACAGTGGGCGTACAGGGATTAGCCGATGTACTTTATAGTGGGTATTGATTAAACATCTAAAATATCTCAAGCGTCAATAAATATCTTAACTAAATATATCAACTATGAAAAAAAAGTTAAATAATAATGGTAATCAAACTTTTAATGCCACTGTGACCTGTCTAACATACAGCTGCACTTTAAATTTTACACTTGTTTGCGTGAACCACGGACTTCAATTGACATGTAATTTAAATCCGTGCGTGAACCAATGAACACTGCTGTAATTCTTCCATTTTCTGCTTTTTTACTTATCTTTACATGTACAGACCGATTCATTTTCAGCTATTTTTTCAAACATGAGTTTGTATAACCATCATGGATAGCAAGTTTTGTAAACTTCAAATCATATCAAACACAAACGTATCACATCTGTATATCATTTTTATCCTTCCAAGCACGGTCGAAAAAAAAGGATGTTGATTTAAAAAATTCCTTTAAAGAGAAACTTCATGTAGGCAATTCTAAATATATTATTGGTTCAACAATTTGCTGATGTGATAAATATGACTCACTCGGGGCAAAATTTTATTGTCCCTTATATCCCCTAAGTGAAATGTATAACGAGATGATAATTCAATTCAAATTGTTATTTACGGCCACATAAAAAACAGGAATTTAAGACTGTTTTTATCGTCGGGCGAGAAAAAAAGAAAAACACACACGTTCACTACGTAAACACTGCACAATAAAAAGTTATTTAAGTTTAAAGTCATCATTGCGATGAACTTTCAATTGAATCCTAAAACTAAACAAAATTATAAATTTCATGCATACACTTAAAAACCGTCTACGATGTAAGACAAAATTATGCGTTCTTCGGTTCTTGACGTTCTATACGGCATACTTTTAAAAGGGACATCATTTGGACATGATGGGACTGGAAATATTTTGGGGGGGGATTAATATTTCATTTGATACAGTTCTTGACAAAATAACTTGTCTGCAATTTTCGCTCACTCGATTTTTTCAAGGATGACTCATTTTATTTTAAGAAATGACCCACAATTGAAATGCGTTGCAACGCTTCTCACTGAAATCTATCTTAGAATACAACACAAATTCGATTTTCATTTTACTTCTAAGTATATTTCTACATTATAATTTGCATATCTTTCTGTTTTAAATTCTCCAGCTGATCTCTGTAAGGAATTAAAATTGTATATTTTTAGGGTTTTGGACTTCAGTGGAGTTCGTTTAAAAGAAAATTAAAATGAGATTTTTTCATTGTTATAACGTTTATGTATACATACATGTATATATGTATAATATGTGTACTCTGTAACTTGTTCTGACAAAGTCGTGTATATTGCTTTTATTTTCCTGCACATTTCTACTTTTAATAAAGTCATGTACAGGAACTATGTGCACAAAACAACGAAAAATAAATAAAATTTTTATAACAGTATTCCAGCCATTTATATATTTTAGATATTAGGTAATAGTATTTTGCTTCGAAAATAGCATTTCGCTTCGAAAATAGCAAATGGTGACCGCACGAATTACTGATATAAACAAAATGATTTGTGAGAAAATAACAAAATAATGAATACTTAATCATGATTTAAGAGACAATCATGATATATTTTGCAAAGTAAAAACGTCTAATGGTCGATAATTACATTCAAAACCTGTGTTCCGTAGGGTAAGTTTATTTTCAAAATGTGAAATTCGATAATTTTATTTGGATTTTATGTGTAATAATTCAAACGTAACAAAAAAATGTAGGGAAAGTAAAGGAATTTTTTAGAGGACATTAGTGTGTGGTTTATATGGAATGAAAAAGAAACAAAGGAACAACAAATCTGACAAGTAACTAGGTATTTTAATCTTATTTTTATACTATATATTATTTTGTCGTCAATGTAATATAACCATGTCACATATGTTAGTATTATAACTCTGTTTATTTTTCTATTGTTTATTAATGTCGGTGATTAAAACACGATAAAATATTGCCCTAATTTTCCGTGCGATGAAGAAAATCTTGTTTTGTAAATTAATATCAACTTGTATGACAATTGTTCGATAGTATTTGTTCTGAACGAAGATGAAAGTATGACAAATGACGTCAAGTCCTTGATATTGATTCCAACTTTAGTATATTGTTCAGTTTGTTATACTTCATTTACTTTAAGTAAATGGTTTTAGTCATATATTAAGTGAATTCATGTGTCAATTTTCCTTCTAGAAACTCACCAATTTAGAGGTATATTACCATGACGTGGGCGTTGATCAACAGATCTCACACCATTCAACCTCAATTAAACGTACTGTATAAGTGTCATAGAATGAGTGAGTATAATCAATTTTGTCAGAAATATTATCATAACTTACAAAATTATTAATTGAATTTAATTTATAAAAGGAACGAATTTGAATTAAATCCGCTTTTAGACTTGATTGGAAGGAAGACACAGCCAGCATTGACTTTATACGGAAGCTGGTCCCGATTGAAACTCAAATGTTTGTTTATCATGACTACTATAATTGTTTTCTTTTCATATTTTGTTAATCAACATGTTCGATATGGTAATTACAAGGTTGTAAGTTGCATCATGCTTTTTTCTACAACATAAAACACTTTTTCTCATTTAACATCACC